GATTACATCGGAATACACGGTTTCTGATAGGTTGAAATCTTAATATCTAATTCTTGTTCCTCTATTGTGCGCAGGCCCTAAAGGCACAGAATATATACAAAGAGAAGCGCAAGCTCTGTGTTGAATGATGGAAACGGAGAATAATCGTTGCGCCTCAAGTGGTCTGGCAGAGAACTAATATCTTATATATGTGTAGGTTTGAAGGGGAGGATCCCGTTTGCCTACAGGGGCTCTATTCTTGAAAAGAAACGTATACGAAAGTCTAGGGAAATACTATAGTATACGTAACGTATACTGTAGCATTTCCCTAGACTTTCGTATACGTTTCTTTTAAAAAATAGAGCCCCTGGTGCCTAGTAATTTTTCACTGTTTTGCCAATGAGATTATTTTATTTTTAAATTAGCCAATCAGCGATACATGTGTGCAATATGCGATGTGTGCAATCGGAGCCCTCCCGGTTTGAAGCATGGACGCAATAAACCTACACATTCCCAGGTAGAGAAAGAGAGAGAGAGGGAGAGAGAGAACATTTGCAGTAATTTTAACGTCAAAAGGACATTAAAGACATCATTTTGATATCAGACCGACAACAAATAACGATAGTTCTTCTCTGAGGGTGACTTAATCAACGATTAATTCAATCAGCAGTGTATTCAACAGCAAGACTGTATATCGTTCTTAACTTCATCTCTTCGTGATATACTTCTATCTCTGAGTTCTTATACTTAACTGTGATAAAAGTAATGAAAATCTCATATCTGTAATAGTAATTCTGCTGATTGAGTTAATTGTCGATTAAGTTAATTGGCGTTGGTAACAGTCGCCCTGAGTGTTCGTCGTACATTGATAGCGGTTGATGGCGTTATGGAAGCACAATAGAACAATGGCCGGTTGCTTTGGCACGTTGTGGTTTAAGGCTTAAACACAATAGGCACAGGCAATAGGCACAGGCAACAGGGAAAAACGAGCCGTCCAATCAGAGCTTTAGGGTTGTCACGTCCGTAATAACCTGAAAAATTTCTTTTCGAACAGACTTAAGTATAGTCCGATTAGCAAACACGTGCACCACAGAAGAAACGCACCTGACGCTTCTCCCATACCCACCAACGGCACGGTCAATGAAAGGGGGCTTTAGGAACGCCCATGGAAGAAACGTAGAGAGACGGCAGAATGTACCCGCGCGCGACCAGTGTTGCCAGATGCTAGGGAATTTCCCTAAACCTAGGGAGAATTACAAGAAAAAAAATGAAATAGGGAAAAGGGGATTTTTTGTGAAAATAAGTTAAAATTTAGGGATTTTTAACAGTAAATGAAAATTTTGTTTTATGCTCGGTTTCGGTCAATAAGTAGGTGACAACTCACCACGTGTCCGAATCGCGCTGATTGACTTGGGCTTGATGCATATCGGCGTATGGCGCTCAGGTCGGACATGTTTTTATTTCGGTTCAGGTGTTATATCATATTTTTGAAAAATGTAACTGATTTTAACCGTGCTCTTATCGTTGATCTTCCTGAGACAGGTGTAGGCGTGTGTGCAGGTATGTACCAGTTAATTAAGAAGAAAAAGAAGAAGTACATACGCACGGGGACACAAATGCCTTAACATCTGAAGTTGCACGCATATCGGAGAAGGCATGAAAAAGCATGTTAAGGCATTAACGTGTGTACATAAAATGAGTAAGATAGTATAATTTAAAATGAGATAGTATATATAAGAAGAAATAGTATAAAAAGAAACAGTATATAGACTCCTTTTTCATTCTTGTTTTCCTTCTTTTTTACTTTTGTTTCATTCTTCTTTTTTACTCTTGGTTTAACAAAAGTGCATGTAGCTTAAATTTGTTATACAGTCTCTATCCAGTTTATCCTTATACATTATTAGATTTATTAGTATTAGATTTATATTAAAATCATAGAAAATGATTATTTGTTTTTTTTTAATCTAATAAATGTACAATAAAAATATATTATTCATTAATTTATAGTACTTATTATATATTTTCCTTTATATGTGTGTTCTGTTTCATATTTATTATAATTCCAAATTGTAATACATTAATAAAAAATAATTCATGATTTTATTTGAATAAAATTTGTAAAGAAACAAAAATTTTGTGAATTTAAGAGAAATTTGGGAAATTAGTGGAAAATTTGGAAAAAACAAGAATTTTATGAATTAAATGGAAAACTAGGGAAAACTAGGGAAATTTTCATGTCCCAATAGGGAAACTGCTTCGCCAGAATCTGGCAACAC